CCTGACATTATGTTATGGTTCTTTGTACTAAGAAACGATAGCCTCACAGTATAGTTTATTAATGTAAAACCAGAAAGATACAATTTGTAAAATATAAAATTATCTGCAGTAAACAAAGGTTGTGATTGAAAGAAAACCAAAATAAAAAATCATACTGTAATCGGCTTAGATGCCTTAATCACTGCCAATTATGTCATGGCTGCATATGTTTTACATGGATTAGATAGTACTTTCTCTCACTTGAGTTAGTGAAAATATTATGTGAATATTAATGACTTATTTTTCTGTAAATATGTTAGAATTTTTATAGGTTCTTGTTCAACTAAGAAGTTACATATGAACAATATTTTCACATTTCACATTGGAATTAATTCTTAGTGTTCAGTTATATAATCTTTCTCATTATGCTTATGCTTCATCAAAAGCAACTTTAAAATATTCAGTATATATTTATAGTCTGTTTCCACACACCTATAACACAACTAATGATAGGTGAGAATAATTATTTCTGAACTTTGGTATTAGACATGATATCTAAAATATCTTTTCAGGAACAATTTTCTATGCAGTATAATTACTGCTTTTTTGTTTATAAGACCTATTTGGGCTTGCTAAAGGGAACTTCTAAAAAGTAATAATTTATGCTAACATTTTAAACAAATTCTGGTTGATTTTGACTGGTGTACCTCTACTACAAGAATAGCTGGTCTCTCATCAGTTCCAGTGTTTTCTTGAGGATAAATGCCCCAAAAAAATGGTTAAAATCATCTTAGCTGAGATTGAAGAAGCAAGCTAACAAACCCCAGCAATAACACCATAATAAAAGCAAACTATTTTCCAAGAGCTTCATGAACATCTGCTCTTTGAAAAGGAAATCTCATGTTTTGCAGAACACTTCATATAAGATCAAACTGTGAATCCCCAGCAGAACCTCAGCTGTTCCTCAAACACAGATAAAATACACAAAGCAAAATAATACACTATGTCTCATCCTTTCCGAGTCTTAGTCTATTCACCACAATTCTTGGTATTGCCAACCACTACCAGATTATTTTAATCAACTGCTTTATATTCATTCTGGTAATTGCTTGTTATCCATTTCCACACCACTGGCTTATTCATTATCTCCAGAAAAACAGTTCAGACCTGATTTTATGAAAATGATTTGTATACAGCATATAACACAATTTCTTTTTAGTTTCGATGGAGTTACATTGCAGTTTAATTCAAGTTCAAATAATACATTAGAATTGTCCTTTTTAAATGCATTTCAGTTTAAGTGGATTCTCTTTTTCACTGTGATTTTAAAGAAATGCTAGAATTAAAAATACTGGAATTGAAAAATATGAAAAAACATAATTTCACAAAGAAAATTTTGATGTAAAATTAGAAAACAGTGTGTAGAAATTTCTTTCTCTTTCAATACACATTCCTAAATTTTTGTTTTTCTAGAAAAAAAATACTTTAGAACTACATAAGTGTAGAAATAACTACAAATGGTAGTCAGAATTCATTTTATAACAATATTTAATAGCTTCTTACAATATTAATTTCTAAAAATAGCTGTAAATTTCTAAAAATTAAGATACTGCCAATTATAAAACAAGTAAGGGATTTCTTAATTTCTGTATAGGGAAACTTCCATTGTTGATAAAAAATAAACATATACTTACCTCTTCTAAATCAATCATGTTAAAAGTATCATGTTGTTTTCATGAACACAAAAGATTAAACATTTTTAAAGGTTGTTATGAAAAGAAAAAATCTTTTATTTAAAGTTTCTTTTTATTATTTATAACTATTCTAAAATGTATATTGTTTGAAACATCTTCTTGTCTTTAAACTTTAAAACAAATGTAGGAGATCTTATATTTTCAAAGAACCTGACAATTCAGGTAAGTAATTTCAGCCTCTACAACAAATTATTTGTAACATCATCCATTTAGCTGGTGTTTATATTTACTCATGTTTGGAAATTTCTTCCTGGAATCACTTAACTTGTATATAAAGAAAATTGAGAAAATTGGTTTAGGTAATTTTAGATGTTTGTATAGCTTATTTGAACTCTAAACTTTGGGAGACAGAGTAGTTTGATTACCCAATCTTCAGACGGAGAGAAAGAAAAAAAGTAGTCACATCATTTTTTGAAAAAGTCCTTGGAAAAAAATCTGAGTAGCATATAAAGCCACAGTAACTATGTGGTACTTTTATGTTATAATTCATTCAGTTTGACAGCATGAGCATATAATCTCCCACAGCAATCTCTACTGACATCACCACACAGAAAGGCAGAACACTTTTAAAGGACAGAAGCATTAAATGTACTTCCCCAAAATATTGGGAAAATTTGAGTTGAAAGGGTGACCTTGTCTTGAACACCGTTTATTAAGAGAATAATAAATCAGCACATTTGAGCACGGAAGTAAATGTCAGGGGACTGCAGAAATCTCCTTTCCACGTTCATCCTGAACACAAGGCTGCACAGTTATCTGGCAAAAGGACCTGGTGCCCCTCAACCCCTCCTTGGAAACAGCACAGTTAACAGAGCCCGAATGGAGTTTTAAAGATCCAGAGATCTTCAGGGGGAGACAGCAACCAAAGCTTCACTTCTCCCTCCCAAAAGTGAAGCCTATTGCATGTAAAGTGAGACAGTTAATGCCTCTGGAACCTGAGGAGGGGTTTGTGTACTAAGCTTGTTACAGCTGACCAAATATTAGGGAGAGGGAGAGGAAAAAGGAAAGAGGAAGGGGGAAGGGAAACGGAAAGAAGGAAATTTCAGGAAATTTCAGGAAATTTCAGGAAAGGAAATTTCAGGAAAGAAAATTTCAGGAAATTTCAGGAAAGGAAAGGAAAGGAAATTTTAGGAAAAGAAATTTCAGGAAAGGAAATTTCAGGAAATTTCAGGAAAGGAAATTTCAGGAAAGGAAATTTCAGGAAAGGAAAGGAAATTTCAGGAAAGGAAATTTCAGGAAAGGAAATTTCAGGAAAGGAAAGGAAAATTCAGGAAAGGAAATTTCAGGAAAGGAAATTTCAGGAAAGGAAAGGAAATTTCAGGAAAGGAAATTTCAGGAAAGGAAATTTCAGGAAAGGAAAGGAAAGGAAAGGAAAGGAAAGGAAAGGAAAGGAAAG